TTTAAGAACTCTTAATTTGAGTATAACTCTTATTTTGAGTATTTAGGCAAAGCTGACAACTTTTGAACTTCAACCAAAAAAACTTGAATAAATATTATCAACCAGGTAAAAGAGTATGTGAATGTAAGTCTTTATTTTTAACAGTGTATATATATATATACATATATGACAGGTAAGTTGAGTGGAGCTAAGTTTTGATTTTGCCTAGTTAAGCGAGCGAACTACTTCAAGATCTATATGTTGACCTAGAAACAAGAGAATATAACGCTAGTTGTCGCTATTATGAAAGCTGCCACTAAAAGGTGTCACTCCACCAAGGCAAGTGGCACACACACACCCACACACACACGTGTGTATATATATGCCCCGTAGCATATACAGGAAATTGAAAAAGTTTGTATTTTCCAGACATCCGATTCAGCTGAAGCTTCGCGTTGAGTGCGCCAACTAATTTAATAAAGCAACACGACATGGCCACTTTTAACAGCACACACACATCACACACACACACATCACACACACACACACATCACACACACACATCACACACACTAACTCATAATATCGCTACACATGTGCGTCAGCGCCCTCAAACATAAAATTGCTGCTGGCCGCGTTTGGCCTTTTGTTTAGCCATTTTCGAAAAAAAAACTTTCTTTGTCTAAGTAATCATATAAATATTTCTTTGTAAATGTGTTAGCCAACTTGTGTGTGTGTGTGTGATATGTATTGTGTGTGTCCAATTGTGTTATGTTGTGCGTTGCCCTAAAAACTTTGGCGTGTTGCGTGTTTATTAAAAACTTGCCCGCTTTTATTTACTGCTTAGGCCAACACGGCGTATGAGCAATATTCGGCTGCGAGACAGCTGAATTTTCTTTCCAAACAAGTTTTGAGTCATCGTAACATTTTCACATGAATTTCGGAAAAACAAAAGAGTTATCTGACTATTTAAATGTGATTTTAATTGAGAGATCAACTCAAAAAAAAAATATTGATTTTGAATAGAGGTTGAGTTCAATGACAAGAAGTCTTATTTTAATAAATATTTATATCTGATTCTATCTGGCACTGATTAATTACTGGGGTTGAAATTATCTTCTAAATATTTTTGATATTTTTAAACTGCTTATTTAAAAGGTTATGGATATAAAAGAAGTGAGAACAAGTTGCAGTAAAGTCTAGCTGACTGTAAAATACTCTGACTGGATAAAGCTATATATTCCCAGATTCAGGTCTGCAACTTCAAAGTTTAGCTCACATGAACGGGTAGATATATTGATGGACAGGACGACAACATTGCATGGCAAAAATTGCACAAGGCCAATATGCTTTCGATTCGATAATTACACACAATTAGTCAAAATATATTCACATTTAAGTGTTAATTTCAGAGCATAGCGCTGACTTTAAGCTCATGTTGTCTTCATCTATTTCGCGCTCTCTCTCTCTCTCTCTGTCTCTCTCTCTCTTTCTCTCTCTCTCTCTCTCTCCCTCTCTCTCTGTCTACGTGAAAGTAGACACAGTTGGTTACAATCCACTTATGCACACATCATAATTGACAGCAGCCCTTTCAAGCTAAGCTTAGAACTGGGCACTGATAGCTGCTCCTTGGCTGTTTAATTTATCGCACAGACGGCAAATATGTTTGCTTTTGTGCTGAGCAGCTCCGCCCACATGCCCCACCCATCTTACGTGGAACAGCAGTTGTGCCTGCTGTTATTGCGATAATAAACCCATTAAATTGCTGGTGGCGAAGACTGTCAACGTCAATGTGGTCGGTCCGATCTACGTGTGTCTGCTGCTTACGTGGTCAGCTTGGCTCGCCACGACGGCCATTGTGGCTTTTGCATACGCAACAACGCGTGGCAGATGAGCAACAGTAAAACAACAAGAATGTGCTAGTCGAGAGTGCACGACTTGCAGTTACGCAGTACCTAATTTTATCATTATCCGCTTGTTATTATAAGTTCATAGGGAAGGTATTCAAATGTGCTTATATCAGCTTGTCAAAGCAGAACCACAACTTTAACGCTTGGAACTCAGAACCTTATTGACACTATACAATAATAACGGTCATTTACAGTATAAACATAAATCGCGTGTGAGACGTGTGCTTTAAGGACGAACTCGAACCGCAGCTCAACATTTTTTTAAGAACCAGCAACAGGAATCGATATTATTATAGACCATATAGTAGCAATGACGGAAGTGAATACCGCGTAAGAATTTGAAACCAATTCATAAACCTTACCGGTACACATCACACTTTACCTAGCCGACCTATAACCGAAACACGTTTGGTTTGACATCCTGGTTAATGTGTCAAAAATCATTATTCTATTTTTATGAATATGTTTTTCACCATAAAATACAATATACTTGCTCCGCGATACAACATCAGCTATATACCTAGCACATAGATATCTATATATATTTATATACTTTATGCCACTTTTCCCCATTTTTATATAGGGTACAAACTATTGTCAGGCAAACCTACACCACGCTTGAAGCACTTTCAGGCAGACCAGCTATTAACCACAATTGAAGCTATTAACCACCATTGGAGCTATTAACCACCATTGGCGCTATTAACCACCATTGCAGCTTAAAGGTTTTACACTTTTATGTGACAGCTGTTTGCTTGTTTACATGCCCTGCCACACAGCACACCCCTTGCTCCCCTCTCCAGCCTACCTTAAGTGGGTCAATGTGCGTTGAACTGATTAGCGAGTAACGTTTTACCTTGGGGGCCAAGGTGCCCATAATTATGGTCAGTGATGACGAGTACAAGCTTTAAATGGCACGCAACAAGAAATGAGAGCGAGCCAAAAAATAGATGTTGCGCTCGAAGGACAACGCTTAAAGCCATATGTTGCCAAAAAAAAAAAGAAAAAGACGATAAGAAAAGAAAGGAAAGAAAAATGGACTCAAATGGCTCGCACATAAATTGTTTGCCGACGAAATCGATAATAATATCTATGTATATATATATATACATATATATATATATATATATTGGTGCTGCCCAAAGCGGCGTATACGTAATGTTCACATATTTTTATATATTTTCCTTTTTCCGGTTGGTTTTTTTTTTGTGTTCATCTTCTTCTTTTCGTCGTTTTTTGAGTCGTAATTTATGCCACGCCCCTGCCATAACGAAGCCAATAATATGGGAAATTATTATCACAAATATTCGTATAATACTCGCATTTTCGCTTCTGATTTCTTAGCGAGCCTCTGCCCCTCCCACTGCCCCCGCGCACCCCTCATTTACTTTTATGCATTATGCCTGCTGTTTGTTTGCTTATGCTTATGTCTGCTATTTTTGTATGTATTTGTGTGTGTGTTTTTCGGTGTCCTTCGGCAGCAAAGTTTTATGTCCTTTAGCGTTAAGGTTTTCATAAATTTTAAATGAAAATGTTTATGTTTATATTCATATTTATGGCCCCGCCCGTAGGCTCATTAGTAAGCCAAACTTGATGTCTTTATCTGTCAGATAAAGTCGCAGACAGCCGCTACCAAAAACAAAAACCAAAAAATAACAAATCACATTAAAACGCTGCAGTCGGCGTAATAATCTCTGTAGACTACAGCAATACTATTTTTGGTATTTTATTATAATTTTTTTTTATTTGTTTTTAAGTAACTTCGTAGTCATTGTGGTGAGGTGGGGGCAGGCTGGCAAGAATTGGGGCAAAGAGGTGGCCACTAATAGGATAAGGCAGCAGCTGAGAAAGAAAGCGAGGCATCCACGTCGACAGGGGCCACCAGTTCCCAGACAAGCCAAATGCCTCTGAGGCAGCTTTAATCAAAAAAGATTTAAGCAAAGCAATATCCTTGGGGTAGAATAGACTTCAAATACTTAGCAGTCTGTGAACAGGTCTAGACTGTACACTAAGAAGCCACCTTTTTAAATTTCTCAAGACACACACAGCAGACTGAAGATGGTGTAAACTCCTCTACAAACATGTAAAATCGAAAGATATGGAATGCTCAGCTCCGCAAAGATTTTTGAATTACTTCAAGAATAAGTGTTGATGGTGGAGCTATAGGCTCAGAAGGGGTTACATTACATCTAATATAATAATATAATAATAAGAACCTTAGCCCGGCTAGGAGTGGGTTGCGTGGGGATATAATAGAGGGTATGTGTGGGGCCCTGCTCTTGAAGGCGGCAACATAGACGCGATTGTCGTCGTTAACGTGTTCGCTGTTTGTCCGGGACTGATTATTCATGAGGAATCTCGTGTTATTGAATGCTGACCTCCGAGGGGAGACATCAGCTCAGCTCAGCCCCCTCCAAACCATTTTTCGTCTGAAAGTTGAAAGCATAACTGGTGGGTTTTGGTCGGGATAACTTGATAAATTAAGTTTCTCGTCTTCCTATGGGAGCCATATGATATAGTAATCCGATCTCTATGATTCGTGGTCACGCATATTGAACAAGTTTAGTTTTAAACAAAATAGTTTTTCATACAAGAACTCATCCTTTATCTGATTATGCCTTTGACAGCTATTTGATGTTGTCGTCTGATTTCAATAATTTTTTAATCAAGTACTGGAAGCGTACAGCATTGTTTATCCAATCAATGGTATATTTAATATCATTGCATTGTTTCATTCTAATTGTAAATACCAAAGTACTTAAAACGATTCTATTGTCAATAATCAACCCTGTGATTCGATCTTTACGCTTGCAATATTTACGATTTATCGATTCTTATTTAACTCATCGCTAGCCGAGTGCACCAACAGCAGGAACGCCGCGCCATAATAAAATAATATGGTGTAATTCGACCGATTCGACAACGACAATTGTATGGGTAAAATACTTTCAAAAAACAATTAAATATACACAAAACACAGATTATTCCTGAGTGAAAAATTCACAAACAACACAGATAACTGACCATTTCAGAGCTGTCATCGACTTGCTGTTAACCAAAAAAAATCTAACCTAAAAAAAGCAGTGACAACTAAAAAAAAAAAGAAAAGACAAATATATTGAATAAAATAATATTCAAGCAGCTAAATCAGCTATAACAATGGACGGCGACGATATTGTGCAAAAGGAGAAGGCGGAGGATCAGGATGAATTCCGTGCGGAGGCCACAATCTCGGCGACGTTGAAGAACGTGGCGCAGATAAAGCGGGATCAATTGTCTCCACCGGTCTATGTGCGAACGCTGCCCTGGCGAATACTGCTCAAGCCAAACGATTCGAATCTGGGCTTCTTTCTGCAGTGCAATGGTGAGAATAATTCATCCAGCTGGTCGTGCTACGCCAAAGCCGAGCTGCGTCTCAAGTGCCACAAATTAGATGCGCCAGCCGCTCGAAAGCGACCCATCAAGCATATATTCTGCGCCAAGGCAAACGATTTTGGTTATATGAACTTCATCAGCATGTCCGAGCTGCTTAATCCTGACAATCATTTTATGGACAATGGCAGCATTACGCTCGAGGTGGATTTGGTGGCAGAGGCACCGCATGGCGTCCCTTGGGACTCTAAGAAGCATACGGGCTATGTGGGCCTGAGGAATCAGGGTGCGACCTGCTACATAAATTCGCTATTGCAAATGTTGTATTTCACGAATTCGTTGCGTTTGTGCGTCTATCGTGTTCCCACCGAGGCGGATGATATTAATAAATCGATGTGTTTAACGCTGCAGCGGGTCTTTCATGGCATGCAGTTCTCGGATCGACCGGTGGGTACGAAACGACTAACAAAATCGTTTGGTTGGCAGACCATTGATATGTTGATGCAACAGGATGTTCAGGAATTTCTGCGTGTCTTCCTCGAGAAGTTGGAGTCGAAGATGCGTGGCACTTGCCTCGAGGGCACCATTCCGGCCCTGTTCGAAGGCGAAATGTCGTCGTATATTAAATGCAAGAATATCGATTTTAATAGCACACGTTACGAGACGTTCTACGACATTCAGCTGAACATCAAGGATATGAAGAACATCTATGAATCCTTTCAGTATTATGTGGCATCCGAAGCACTCGAGGGAGATAATAAATATGATGCTGGCGTGCATGGACTGCAGGAGGCGAGCAAAGGTGTCATCTTCACAGCGTTGCCACCAGTGCTGCACTTGCATCTGATGCGTTTCCAATACGATGCCAAAAGAGATATTTCGACAAAGTATAACGATCGCTTTGAGTTCTACGAACAAATCAATCTAGATCCTTATCTGGCAAAGCAGGCGATGACCCCAGCTGATTATGTGCTCCATGCCGTGCTGGTGCATTCGGGCGACATTCATGGCGGTCACTATGTGGTCTTCATCAATCCGAAGGCCGATGGACGCTGGTACAAGTTTGATGATGAGATCGTGACCACTTGTCGCAAGGAGGAGGCCATCGAACACAATTATGGTGGCATCAATGATGAAATTAAATTTCACTCCAAGTCCACAAATGCCTATATGCTTGTCTACATGCGACAATCGCATCTGGATCGCATTCTAATAGACATACCCCAATGTGAGATATCCAGTGATCTGCTGGAGCGTTTCGATTTGGAGCGTCGCATTGATATGGTGTGTCGCAAGCAGCACATTGAGGCGCATCTCCATTTGACAATCAACATCATACTCGAGGAGCATTTTGAAGCACATCAAAAGTTCCGACTCTTCGACACGGAGTCGATGACAGCTTTCAAATCGTTCAAACTCCAACGAAATCTAACTGTTGACAATATCGTTGAACTGCTGTCGAGCGCATTCGGAGTGCCTCGGCATCGGATGCGCTTATGGGGCATGTGCAGCATTGCAGCAAAGGACCAAAAGTTTATGTACATTGACGTCGAGGCGTATGCGATGCGCACCCTCAACGAGATACCCAACGATGTCCAAAAGCCCTGGTGCATATTCCTTGAATTGGCCCAAGCCGACTGCCCGGGGCGACTGCCTCCATTCAATCCCCAGCTGGACGTGCTGCTCTTTCTCAAGTTTTACGATGCACGCCGGCAGCATCTCAATTACATTGGATGCACACAGCAACCCTTGAATCGTCGGCTCTGCGAACTGGTGCCGGAAATCAATCGAAAACTTGGCTTCGCATCCAACACCAAGTTGACCGTTTTTGATGAGTATGCCGGTTGGAAGATACACGACCTTGAGGAGCCCATTGGAAATTTACTCAATATGGCGCCGAAGCAGTTGCAGGGCACCATTTTGATATTTGAACGTGAAAATGTGGATGCAAAATTGGATTTACCCACCGTTGCGGATTATTTGATGGATGTCGTCTCGCGCATCGAGATCAGTTTCAGCGACAAAGCCAATCCCTATGAACCGGATTTTACGCTCGAACTCTCACCACGCTGCAACTACGATCAGTTGGCCCAAACGGTGGCTGTCCACCTCAACACTGATCCGACCAAGCTGCAGTTTTTCAAGTGCATCAGCTATGACTGGAAAATGCCCGGCGTTGATGTGCCCTACACGTATACGGGCACTATCAATGATCTGTGGACGCAGCCAAAGGAAAGCTCGAAAAAGCATTTGTTCTATCAGAAACTATCGTTGAGCATTCATGAGCTGGACAACAAAAATGTGTTCAAATGCATTTATGTATCGAACAATTTGAAGGAGGAAAAGAAACTCGTTCTCTATCCGAATAGAAATGATACGGTTAGGGAACTGCTCGATAAGGCAGCGAAAGTGTTGACATTTACCGATTCCAGCCAGAAGAAGCTGCGTCTGCTGCGTGTGAGCAATCACAAGATTGTTGCCATCTGCAAGAATTACGAACCGATAGATGGGCTTAGAGTCGATTTATCGACGGCAAGGATATCCATTTATCGTATCGAGGAGATACCCAATGAGGAGGCACAACTCGATGAGAATGAGCTGCTCATTCCAGTGGCTCATTACACCAATGATCTGAGGAATGCATTTGGAGTGCCGTTTCTGATAAAGGTGCGGCATAAGGAACCGCATGGGGCAGTCAAGCAACGCATTCAGCGGCGCCTCAATGTGCCCGACACAGAGTGGGAGCACTACAAGTTTGTCGTCTGCATCACCTTACATCTAACCATCGATGTCAGCGACAATTCACTGTTCGATCTGGTCGCCTTTCGCAACTGGTCGGGCATCGAAATGGGCCAGTTGCCGTTCTTTGGACTCGATCATATTAATAAGACGCGCAAGCGCGAATCATCCGAGAAGGCCATCAAAATCTACAACTAAATGAATTTTTATGTCCTTTCAACCAAGTTAATGATACATTTTTATATATGAAAAAATATAACATGAATGCTCTAGTCAAGAGATTCTTATTGGACATTTTCGTATAAATGAAATCAACTTTAGTTTCCAATTAGACTTATTTGCTTACAAGCGTGGAAGTCAAATGTAACAAAGAGATAATTACATATGAAATACAAGTCTTGTTGTAATTAAATAAAATGAAAACTCCATAAGATAAATCAGATCAAGATCTGAGCTGCTCTGTGCTCTTATCGGTTGTCTCTCTTATATATATGTGCATTTGTATGTGTGTGTGTGTTTATGCATGGGCACAGCTGAAAAAAGAAAGCAAAAACTACAACTAATTGCATACAACGATCTCTCCCACGCTCTCTCAAACTGCTCTGCGCTCTTATCCGTTGTCTCTCTTCATATAAATGAGCATTTGTATGTGTGCATGTGTGTGTGCGAGTGTTGTACATATGCTTATGCATGGATACAGTTGGAAAGAGACAGCTACACATTTTAAGCCTACAACTAATTGCATAAAAGTTTTCCTTTTCTGGCTGGCGCAACCTTTTCTCTTAAATGTTGTCTTTTTTTTTGTTGCAAATTTAATGTTTGTTTTGTCAACTGTCAATTTCAATGGGTGCTCCTCTCTTTTTTTCGTTTTAACAGGTTTTTATTTTGCGCGCAATTTTGCATGTCAAGCTGGCAACTTCATTTGGCGTTTATTGACAGCGACAAGAGGCAAACACAATTGGAGAGCCTAACGGTAACGACAACGACAACGAGCAACGGGCAACGGGCAACAACACTAACGACACAACACAGACAACAACAATAAGCTGTAACTTTTTATCAAGTTATTAACTTATCTAATTCGATTATGGGCGCTCTGCCCAAGGAGCAAAGCTGAGCAGAGCAGAGCGCTGGGCAGAGAGTTGGCGTTTACATAGCAAGCAATTCAATTAGAGCTGTGCGGCAACAACAAAATGGCTGCCCAGACAGACAAAGAGAGCAATAAAGGATAGACATAGAATTCAGACAGACAGATAAGTCAGACAGAGTGAGAGCGAGAGAGAGAGGCAACATAGCGGGACCTTGGGCGAATGTTAAATGAAAGCAGACAAAAGGTCTCAGTCTGCTTTTCTTTTTACATTCTCTTTGGACTAGTGAAAGTCTTTTCGTGTTCTCAAATAGATTTTAGTTGCCGCCAATGTCAGCAAGTTCAAGCGATCCATCAAATTTCAATGAATTCGATTATTTGTGCTTTTTCCAACACTTAGCATACATATTTAGTGCTTATAAGCAGCTCTTAAATAATACAACAATATTTCACTAATTTTTGTATTTCTTTCTCTTATTCCCAGTTTGTTGTCTGTGTGTGTGTTTTATTTGTTATCAGAGAATTCTTTGTGTCTCAAACACTTGGCCATTTTGTTCATGTAAATTTGTTGGCCCTTAAAGCGAGCGTTTTTGTTGCCGCTTTTGTTGCCACTTGTTTGTATTAGCATTGTTGCCGCACTGTGCGTGACTTGCAGTTTAGCACATTCACAATGGAGCATTGTAGCCATAGTTGTACCCTGTGAAATTAATTAGGCAAAAGGTATATAGGTATGCATAAGCATCTATGGTATTGATTTTTCCATTAATTTTCATTTATTCTAATATAAAGAAAACAAATACCTAACAAAGAAAAGCTTTGTTTCATGGACAAAAAACTAAACCCATTTCCATTCTAGGCATAATTTTGTTTATGATTGATTTTATATTCAAATTTGATTACAATTTTCTAACAATTGGAAGCTCTATGAATAATAAGTATTTTTCAGTCGTGTAATTCTCAATGAAAATCATTGCTTGAATTGTTTTTGCATATTTGATGTAATTTTATTTTTTATTTGTGCTGGCATTGTTTGGTAATTGATTTGCAAAATGAAAGCAGAATGCAAAGAACAACAAAACTTGTACAAAATGAAAATGAGATGCTGACCAGTCGACTTCCCGCTCCTCACCCGGTACCAACCCCCTAACTCCTACTGCATCCCCCAATTTGCTGAGTTTTCCAATCAAAGTTGTCGTTGTTCGCCGTTATTGAAAGAAGCTTAATGCCCAAATAAGCTGTCCATTATTCAGGAGCATGTGCGAGTGCTCTGCACAAAACACACACACCCCCCTAACACACACACACACAGACACACACACACACACACTCGACACACACTCGAACACACACACACTCCAACATAACACATAAAACTTTTTTCATTTCTGGCATTCAAATGCGCACAGAATGCAGAGGCGTTGTTAAGTGAGGGATAGGGGCTGTGTGCTAGGGGGGTGGGAGGGGGGTTGGTACCTCATGGTCTCATGCATTATGCGCATTGTTTGTCAACAGACAAAAGCAACTTTTTATGCTTTCCCTGTTGCCCAAAAAAAAAAAAGAAAACCATTTTTTGTATGTTATCTTTTGAAAAAGCAATAGAAGAACTTCTTTCAGCTCCCCGTGGGCTGTCCAAGGCAGCAGGAATAAATCACGTACGCACATGGAAGTAGTTCAAGGGAGGAAGGAGCAGGCGGGTTAGACAGTTACGTGTGGCTGCATAAGCGTGATCGATATACCTAAAAAGGAAACCGAGTTGTGTGCTAATTTTCATGCAATAACAACATCAATTACCAAAAAGAAGACTAAGAAGTTAGAGTGTGGATGGGCGTGGAGGTTGCAACAGCAACATCAAGTTGCCACAGCAGGAATATATATATATAGAGAGAGAGAGAGTGAGAGAGAGGTAGACAAAGAGAGCAAGATTCAAAGCTGCCAAGCTGAAATTTCTTTGGTTAACTTCAAGACAACAAGACAGGTATCCGAATCTGGCAGACAGCAAGAATGGTTAAGGCTGGAGGAGATGGAGGAGCAGCAGCAGGGGGAGGAGGTGGGCGCCCAGTGAGCGTAGCATGCACTTGGAGGCACATTTGTTGTTTGTTAATATAATTAAGCGATTTGACGCCGCCCGCAATCTGCTTAAGGTTGTTTTTAATTAATTTTTTGCGTTTTGTTTATTTTTACTTAATTACGAAAGAAGTGGAAATGTGTGTACCGTCTCCAAGCTGATAAAAGCATGTGTGTGCGAGTGTGTGTGTGAGTGTGTGTTTGAGTGTGTATGATGTTTATTCAAGTGTGTGCTGTACAACAAAAAGCAGTCAAATGGCTGAACGAGTTAGGAACAAAAGGCAGCTGAAAAGTCTGGCAATGACATTGTTGCTGACAGCATTTGCAGTTTATTTGCGAATAACTCAAATGAACACTCTAAAAAAAGGTAGACGTAGTAAACAGAACTTATTTAGAATTTCTAGAAATGAAGTTAATCAATTCTGTATTAAAAATTTGATTTTTTTTTAATTTTAATGTAGTCTCCGAATGGAAGCCGTTAAGTTCTGAAATTAAACATCGTAATTAGAGCATCGACATCATTTCTAGAACATAAGTCTATCATTTCTCAAATACAAGTTTTGTATTTTTAAATTTTTAAAGCAGTCTCCAAACATTTAATTTCCTTTGCCAGCTTTTCAGCTGCAAGTTGCCAAATCGGAATGGAAACCGCAACTTTACCGATTCAAGTTTAAGCCGGAATTGAATATTTACAAAATATCTTTAAATTCAAAACGGAACCGATTGCAATTTCCAAACCAATTTCCAGATCACAACTTTTACCATACCGCATCGAAATGCGCTTCGGCTCAACAGCAATAAGTTTTTTTTTGAAAATGACAAGAATTTCTAAATAAATAATATACTTTTTTAGCTGAAGCGTTGCGACCTTTTCAAAAGTTGTTTGCAACTGTCAAGATATATCTATTTGTTTGCTGCATGTAGAACTTAACTTGGCCAATGGCCTTAAACTGTAAACTGACTGTCTGACTGAGTGACTGACAATGGCAAGAAGAGCGCCAAGAGTTAACTAAATGCTTGACAGTTGCAACTAGCGTCCGCTGCTCTCAAAGCCAAGACGAATCCTGCCCCACACTTGCCCCGAATAGAGGCAGGCAACAGTCGCGCCGCTTCCGTCTCCATCCGCCCTCCTCCGTCCTGCATCTACTTTGCTTAAAAGTTTTGCCATCGCTGTCGCTGACAGCCGCTGCGGCAAGTTGAAGCTGCCTGTCGTGTTCGCCTTCGCCTTCGCCTTCTGCTTCTGCTTTTTCTTTTGCCTGTGCCTTCGCCTTGCTATCCTTAAGTCGCGTGACAGCCTGCTCGGCTCCAACCTCTGTCTGCTTGCTAGCCTTATATCCGTTGCCGCAGCGCTTCCTGTTTACAATTTAAACTAATAAGCAGCCAAAGCGTTGACAACAACAATTTTGTCCGCTTCGTTTTCAATCTTCATTTCATTCGCCACTTTTTGTCATATTCAATACAAGTTGACAGACGACCCTCTCCATACATGCGATATACATAAATATATACAGATATATATGTATTTACATATTATTTGCAAATATTGGCTGGCGTGGGCAAACAGCAAAAGCAACAACACAAAGCAAAGGCAGGCCAGAAATGTTTACCCAATAACCGTTGCAGAGAACTTGAAGTTGTTAGCCCAACGGAAACTATCAAATATTATTATATGATAGATTTTATACGATTAAGCAAATAGGAATGTCGTCATGTAAGCAGTCGATATCCTTAAAGTTGTTATTCAATTCAGCTTAAACTCATATTAGTCTGTGAAAACTATGGATTGTTTTTAGTCGATATTAAATAAATAAATAATAATATTGATTCCTGTAACTGGTTCTAAAAAAAATGTTGAATTTCAACGGTTCCTATTATAAATATCAATTACTCTGCTCATAACTGTTATAAAACAATAAATCATACTTTATTTGAATTAATTTAATTATCATCATTCGATATACAATTACTTTTCTAATTATTATTATTATTTGGTAAACTCTCAATTCATCAAAAAATTATAATGTGCCACAATTATCTTCACCCAATTAACCTCAAATATGAAACTTGACAGCTATTTCATAAAGTTAATTTAGTAACACTTAAGAATTCAGAATTCGAGTCTGTTAAGTGCTGTAGTCATCATAATGATAAGTAAGATATATAGTCGTCAAATACTTAGTTGAAGCATACATATATACATAT